AGTATCTTCGTTTTGTTTACATAAAAAAGTCTTTATTTCTCCTTCATATTTGAAATGGAGGTGTGGAACCTAATTTCCCTCCTCTTGAGTATGGGCCAATCATCATAACTTGCTACTGACAAACAGAACCAGATGGAAGTGACAGTGTGTGACTTGAAAGACTAGGTCCTAAAAGGCACTATGGCTTCTGCCTTGCTGGCTTTCTCCACAGTGGGTGGTAAAACCACCAAGCAAAGCCACTCCTAAATTTCTGACCCACAGAAACTAGGAGACAAGAAATTTTTATTGTTTTAAGCCACTAAATTTGGGGGTAATTTGTTACACAGCAGTATACAACTACTACTGAAGTTCTCTGGGTTTCTTGGATCCGTTGTTTGATGTTTTCATTACTTATGGAAATTTCTCAGCCATCACCTCTTGAAATGTTTCTTCTGCCCCAATCTCTATTTTCCTTTAGGGATCTCAGTTGCATGTATGTTAGACTGCGTAGTGTTGTTCTGCAGTGCTTGGATGTTCTCTTTGCAGTTTTAAACACTTGCCAAATCAGCCTCATCATGACCCCTCACCTCTTAAGACATCAATCCCAGCTGAGCACCACCCCCTTCTCTGGGGGACTCCACAGGGATGTGCCTCAAAGCTCCTAAATTTTAATAATTCCAAACTCTTCCCTTTGTTCCCCCAGCCCTAGAGGGGTTAGCTGCTTCCTGAATTTGCTAACTTTGTGATATATTATTCTTTTATTATCTCTTGAGTTAACAATTTACCCTAATAACAATTTTTATTAACATTTTCTCTGTTCAAATAACACGTATGGTTTCTGTTTTCTAACTAAACCCTGACTGACTCAGAAATTGGTATGGAGGGTCCCAATAAACATATCCTCAAAGATGGGACTGTAGTATTTGTTTAGTTGTGTCCTTGGACTTGATTGTAGTGTGAGCTCCTTGCTAATAGAAAGTGGAATGTTATGATCCATTTCATGACATGGTAACACAATTAGTTGATATTACTCCAACTTATTTGGCCATGGAAACTTTTGTTAAAAGAAGCATCTTACAGGACTAGTATTCAGCAGAATAAACTTCGGGAAATGCTGGCTTAGCCATACTTCTCTATTCAGTGTATCCTCCCTAAACACATTAAGCATGTTCAAGTTGCTGCTCATGCTTTATCTAAATTGAGAAATTTATACTCATCATTTGAGTCTCAATCCATGTTATACATCAAGTGTTTAGAGCTTTTCCTGACACTGAATCCAAACACCTCCCCACAGGAACTAACTGGTTGTATTGCTTTATACATCTAAAATGATCATTCTCACACTATATCAGTTGTTTGTTTACAAATATGCCTAGCCCACTAAAATTGGAGCTCTTTGAGAGAGTCCTTGTCTGATTCATCTTTATATCTCTCATGCTGATCAGAGTGTCTAGCATACAGAAGGTACAATTAATTGTATTAATTGTACAATTAATTGTATTAATCATGAGAATGGTTATGGAGGCTAGCTATATTTATTCATTAAGAAAAATTTGGGCACTTTGAATCTGGTATTATTCCAGAAGAGGATAACAGACATGCTTTGTTATTTGAAATGGATTTGTATATCATTCTTACCATGTGTTACAATTTCCTCTCAAGGGTAGAAACTTGTTTTTGTTTCCATTTTACATATCTGTTCACCCTAGACAGGCAAATAAATTCAGCTCAACAAGCATATACTGAGTAATTGCTGTATGCCAGGTACTATAGCAAACCTTAAATACACGAACATGTTACATATAAATGTTCATAGTTCAATGGGGAGACAGACTCAGAGTCAAGGAAATTTCAATATCAATATGATAAGTACAATAAGGGAAAGTATATACAATTTGTAGTAGTTTAGCAGAAAAGATAAACTCTTTATGAGAAGAATTAAGGAAAAACTTCCCAGAGATTTCTGAGCTGTAGTTTGAAGGAGGAATAGGAGTTTTACAAGCTGACCAGAGGCAAGGGCATAAATTAAAAAACAAACAAGCAAACAAACAAAAACAAAAAAACACGGAGGCAAAAAATAGTAAAATTTTGAAGAACTAAGAACAGTTTCAGGAGCATTAAGCACCAGATGGTTTGTGGCAGAAAATGAGGCTGGAAATTTAGGCAAAGGCCAGATCATGAGAAGAGCCTAAGATGCCATTCTAAGGAACTTACACTTATCCATCAGGTGATGGGGAGCCAGAGAAGATAAGTAACATTTATTTTTCCTTTGCTGAATTAGTTAAAATTTGTAATATATACATTGAATAAACATCTGTTGAGCACTATTAATACTACAGGCATTTTGCTGTGCACTGGATTATGTAGTGGAGTTGTGCCTTTAGGCTCTTCATAAAGGACATTTTTTTTTTTAAAGATTTTATTTATTTGACAGAGAGAGACACAGTGAGAGAGGGAACACAAGCAGAGGGAAGTGGGAGAGGGAGAAGCAGGCTTCCCGAGGAGCAGGGAGCCCGATGTGGGACTCGATCCCAGGACCCTGGGACCATGACCTGAGCCGAAGGCAGATGCTTAATGACTGAGCCACCCAGGCGCCCAATAAAGGACATTTTTGTTGATAAGATAGATAGCCCAGATTTCATTTATACTTTCTATCCTCTCAGTTAATTCTTTTTTTTTTTTAAAGATTTTATTTATTTATTTGAGAGAGAGAGAATGAGAGACAGAGAGCATGAGAGGGAGGAGGGTCAGAGGGAGAAGCAGACTCCCTGCCGAGCAGGGAGCCCGATGCGGGACTCGATCCCGGGACTCCAGGATCATGACCTGAGCCGAAGGCAGTCGCTTAACCAACTGAGCCACCCAGGCGCCCCTCCTCTCAGTTAATTCTTATCATAAACTTGCAGGACAGTATTTCTAATTTTGTTGGTAATGCTAAGACCAACACTTTGAATCATTTCTGCCAGGTAGCAGATTTTTCAGGAACCCACTTTATAAACTATAATTAGTCTTCTATAAGGGGAAAATTATTTCCTTTATTTCCTTTCTAAATGTTATAGCTTTCATCATATTTTTGTTATACATTACTATCTACATATTTCTATTTAAAGTTAGCCCAAGGAAATCCACATCTTTTCAGCCTATGAACTCTTCTATTTAAGATAAATAGAAGAAAATAAGAAATTTTCTAAAATGAAGGTAATAAGCATCAGGAAGAAGTAAGAAAGGTCCCTAGAAAGTAGAAATAATGCATAAAAGAGTTAAATTCCAAGTATTATCTCAGTAAGCAATACGAAGATATAAGTGGAAGTCTGGATATCGAAACACAGAATTACATAGAGAACTTATATAAAAATCAAATGGCCATCATTTCTATAATAGAGGCTCAAGGGAACAAGTAACACTTGAAATTTCAAAATCAGTGATGGCATAGACAGGAATGAGCAGTGCCTTATTAAAGATGGTCTTCTTATAATATACAAAGCATGTCCCCAACTGTTTCCTACCAGTGTCCTGAATATTGGTAAAAAAAAAAAAAAAAGGTAAAAAACAAAAACAAAAAAACCTTCACACCTAGATGAAAACAAATGATCTGAAACTGGTTGCTGATTTGTTACAAAAAAAATTCTAGTTACTGTTTTAATTATTCTCCTCTAAAAAGAGAACCAGAGGCAAAGAAAATCTGCTAGCACTGCAAAGAATCATGAATTTTAGTTAGATATGGAGATGAGTGCCTTGAGTGAGAAGGTTGCTCAATTTGGGATTACATATTGGGAAATCTTTTTCTGCATGTTTCTAGACATAGGCGGGATTATAAATTGTATATGTTGCTGTGAGGAAGGGAACAGACAAGATTTCTCAAGACCCTGTCAAGCCTGGTGATCTTTGGAAATGAAAGCCTAATTAAGAGGCTCCCTAGGGACAGGTCAAAGGCGTTCTTTTATCTCTACTGCCCCTATTCCAGTTCCTTGATGCTTATTCTGCTCCTTTCATTCAGCCTACTCTAAAACTGAAGAATACATATTGTGCAAGTTTCCACCTTTGCTTCCTCTACTGTAAATGCATTAGACTATTAGGGTTAAGAATTTTAAATACCTCATCCCTTATCTATGAACTGATGGGTTTTGTTTTGGAATAGAGCTTAACATTTAAAATTCTTCTATTTTTTTTCAATTGGACAACAAAACTTTTTAGACTTGGACTATAAAAGTCCTTCAAATATCTTTTAATAAATCTGATGAATAATACGTTGTCAAATTTCACTTCGGATTTATGTCTTCTTCTAGTTTCAAATACTGTGTCGCATGCAATTACTTACTTGGGTTAAACGGTTAGAATCGTATTGACAGTGTCTGACTTCTTTGAAAGCTTTAGGGCGAGTGTCTCTACAGTATCACCCAGATACGAATAGCAACTGATGTACGTTTTAAAACTTAACATAATTATTTTGCAGATTTAAAGTAATTAATGTCATTCCCTTGATAGTACGCGAGGAAGAGTAGGGCATTTTATTGTTCTTTCATATCCTCCGCTCCTCACATGAAAAATTAGTGACGTTAATTTATGTAAGTTTTAAACAACCCTGTAAAGGTGAAAATGTTCTAAGTATGACAATTCTATGTGAAAGAGTCTTCCAAAGTTTACAAGCAGGTGTGGATACTGCTGCATCCCCGACCAGCAATCTTTCCTCAGACCACTCCACAGCGCCATGTTAAAAATTTTAATTTAAAAACTTAACTTCTAAAACTCTAACATTTAACTATAAGTTTCCTCTTACCAACACTCATAAGCAACATCTAAAAATCAAGATAGGCTTCGGATGCTAACCCTCAGTAGACCACCTCCCCAATCACCATCCCAAACGCTGTACACAGCCTCGCTCAGGTCAGCAATTACCGGCTCCTGGTCCTTGGCGTGACGATATAGCTGCACCTGATTGGTGCACCGTCTTGTCAGTCATAACGAGAGGTGGTCCTCAAAGGCCCGGTCTAAATGAGACGCTGTGTTTTTTACGTCATCTGCCAGCGACGAAAGCAGGAGGGGGCGTTGTGAGCACAACTTCGTGGTGGCGGGGGTAGCCTGCGAAGGTGTCATGGCTGCTGCCGTTGAGCTTAGTCGCTCGAGCAATGGTGACAGGAGTCTGGAGCGGAGCTGCAGCCCTAATCTCTCCCAAGAGGTGCTCTGCGAATTCTTTCGCTCTCTGCATAGCCTGGTGGGACAAGTGAGTGGTGATCTGTGGGAATACGGGTATGGGAACTATCCGGCCCCTCCCCCCTTTTTTCCTCTAGCGGAGGTGGGGGGCTGCGGAGGGCTGCCGGGGGGCTGCGGAGGGCTGATGGGGATAAGGACAGACTAGCTGAGGCGGGAGGAGGAGCCCGAGCCCAGCAGTCTGCGGTCGGAGTGAGGATGGCCGTACGGGCTTAGTTCAGGATGGGTTGCAGATCAGATTTCCTTGCAACTCTTCTCCCCAAGAGTGAGAGAGCGTAGTGTAAGTGAAAAACCCGCTCCGAGAAGAACACGCTTGGAGAGAATGACGTGTAAAAAGCTTTGTGGGTTTGGAAGGTGCCTGGCGCTCACGATCCCCTTTCCTTCAGTGAATTCATTATAGAAATTGATAGGTTTGTAACGGCCTGAGAATTTTGGAAAAGCTCTCCCCGCCTTTTTTGGGTGATTTGCTTTTAGGAGTCACTTGGTTTCTTTCTTTTTTTCCCTTCTGGTTGTTGTGTGCATCTCTTACCCTTTCATATGGGGAGGAAAATAAAAGGAATTAATGTAAATACTTCTTGCATAAAGTTGGATGAGTTATCCATGGTTGATACAGTTTGCATCAGAACTGTTGTTTAATCGTCATTTAATTATTAACTAATTTAACTGGCTGATAAACAGCTTCTGCAGAAATGTCATAATAAATTGGATTTAAATAAAAGTACTCCTAATACATTCTATTCCAATCAACTCACTACTTCGTTTCATGAAGTAAAATGCAAAGCATACTATAAATGAGAAACAACTTGAAAATAAGTTTGTTTGCTTTTAAAAAGGAAATCTTTTCTCTTGTATCTTGGAATATTTTCCAGCTCTAAAAGTTGGTTATGGGGTTGGTACTAGTGCATGTAGTAGGCACAGCAGACTTTTATGTCAAAGATAATGTTAACTTCCTTTATGAAAGCAGAACATTTGTCTGATTTGTAAAAAAAGTATTTTGAAAAGCCGTGGGTGGATGGAGAATAAATTTTTTAAAAGGTTATTTCAGTATTTTTATTATTTTTTTAATTTTTTTTTATTTCAGTATTTTTAAAATCCTATATGTTTGTTGTGACTTAAAAAAAGCATTACTCGAAGTTAACATTTTGTTTGGTGTAACAGAACAATTATTAATAGAATCTGCTAAAAGTTGTAACTTTTGAACTCAGTTGTTTGCCATGGACTTACTAAAATTTTTTAAAGACCTGGGGACATTAATATTTTAGTCTTATCACCCAACAGCTGTAATGGTTTAACGGTTTAAGAACGTTTTATGTCCTGGACATTGGAGTTTTAAGGTTTATTTGTATTTTAATGTCAAGATGAAAAAAGTTTATGCTCACCTATAATTTACAGAAGTTTTATTTTCAGTGGTAAGATATTTTTTAAAGTAACATTAAATAATTTAAACATTTCTTTTGAAATATATTGCATACTGAATTTTTAAAACTCATTTACAAATTTTAATACATATTTTGTGATTATGTCACCTGTCAAAAATGTTTGGAGTAAATATTTGGAAAGATTACGTGACACAGTGAAGGAGCCATCTATATAAGTGTCAAAAAATTAAATCATTGTCTCATCGATTAAATACTAACCATTTTGATGTTACTCTTTATATTTTGAGATGTATTGTTAAAAGATAAGAATGAAAGCCGTAATACTTATAAAATTGCCCCTGGAGGAAAATCACTATTTACTTTTGCAACAAGTTTACAGGATGTTTTTTTAAATGTAAGTTTCAAAAAAAAAAAAAAAAGTTTCCATACCTTTAATTTCATTCTGCATAGTATCATTATATTGTTGGCTCTCCTCAATAGGAAACATAAAATTGAATGTTAAAAAGTATCCCAGATTTCAAATTTACTGGTTTTAACCTTATTGCTTGCCTCTGCATGGCTCATTTTACCAAGTTGAAGCATTATTTATTGTTAGCTTGGATTTTCATATTAAGTTTTTACTGAAAATGCATATTTAAATAGTCCTTATTAATGTCAGACTACTACATTTTTGAGTGAATGGTTTACAATTACAAGTATAAAGGGTAAAAATGCATAGAACTCATATTACTAATAGGGAATTTGTTGAATAAATAGTTGGATATATTGGGATAATTTTAAAGTTCATTAATATCATTATTATGTGGTTTTCTTAAAAAAACCAAGTATCTTTAATTGTGCTTGAAAGTCTTACATAATTATGTTAAATTGAAAGAATATGATCCCAACATTAAGATTTATTTTCTGTAAGTTATTATTTTCTCAAAAAATTTGATGCTTTACTTTGGTTGAGGATTTGTCTGTGTTATCCCTAAACTCTATTCATAAATTTGTTATCAACTGATTTTAACAGTCTTAGAGGACTATAGAAGTACAGTAATAGTTTACTTCCATACATAAGTTGTTGTCTAATGAAATTTTTATGGGCATTAATATAAACTAAGATTAATGCAGTATTCTTAATGTAAAACCTTAGTGATTATAAACTAATCTTTGCCAGTGCAGCCTATCCAAGACTTCCTATTTCTTTATACTCATCGGATATAGATTTTTAATGTTTCTTGTTTCATTTTGTAAAGGGTGGTAAATTTTTGTCATATAGTATTCAGTATAGTGCCTTTTTTGGTAACTTTGGATCTCTGGTTCTTTGTACAGTGATTCATCTTTTTGTTTTATTATAATCACAACTCATAACATCTGTATTTGAACTAATGTAATACTTGCCTTTATTTTGTAGAAAACATGACTTTTAATGAATGATTTCTGAAAAAAATAAACTTAATTCTACCATGCAGTATATCTTTATAGTATGCTATAAACACATATACCTAGAAAAGTTTATGGAGGTTCACTTTTATTCACTTGGAAGCCTAGAGACGGAGGCTTTCCCTCTAAAATTTTCACTGATTTTGATATTAATTTTATATTTGGGTTCTTGGTAGTTTTCTGTATATAATTTATTCTAATAGGTCACACATAGCCAACTTATAAGAAGTTTTATATGACAAGCCCTCACAAGTATTAGAAAATACTAGTTAGCAAAAGATCTAGCCATTCCATTCAGTCTCTGACCATTTATTTCACTATTGTGGAAGACTTTGTTTTTCACTTTCAGATTTCCACAGCTAGATTACAGTTTTTTATTTAAAGTATATAAACACGTTGCCATTTATCCCTAGGCTTTATAATATGTATGAATAATGTTGATTTTTAAATTATTTTAAAATTGGTTAAAGTTGAAAACGATAAAAATGTGATTCAGAAAACATCAGAATAGTGATATATATCAGTTATGTCTTTGTGTACATATTTAACAAAAAGAAATGTTTATATCAGAACTTTCATAAATGTGCCTGCCCCTTCTGTTTAGTGCTCTGAGCTAGAAATACTTGGCCCTCATCCAAAGGTTTTAGATAATGAAGTATCAAAAAAGCCTCATCTTTCCATCTTTCGTGGATGGTTTCACCTGTAAGATGGTCCCATTACACAGACCCAAGAATAGAATTAGAATGAGATATCATTGTTTTTTTTTCTATGAAAATTACATCTTTCTTGGCCTTTTAAAATGGTAACTAGGTAGAGCATTTTAATGTATCATTAAAAATCTGATAACTTTGAGCTAAATAGGCATGTTACTCTAAAGAAATATTATTTTTGTGACATCCCATATACACAGCTTAATCGTGTAATTTTTGTGATGTTGCTGGTTTGCCCCTTTGAAGCTTAACCTCAGAGATGATGTGGTGAAAATTACAATCGATTGGAACAAGCTCCAGAGCCTCTCGGCATTCCAGCCCGCTTTGCTCTTTAGTGCACTTGAGCATCATGTTTTATATTTACAGGTAAATTTCTTGTTAAAAATGTTAAGTCAGTATTGAGAATAGAAATTAATGATAGTTAAATTATAAGCTAGAGTATTTGTCAGTTCTTACCACTGTATTAATAGTGTTATCAATAAAAGGTTACTTCAGCCACTTTAGATCCAAATCTGTTAGTTTATATAGTGATCTGGACAGTCTCAGGAATATAGTTCAATAGGCTGATGTGGCTATGAAAACTGAATGAATGCAATTCTATTCCATTCTAGACTTGCACTGAAAATTCAATACAGTTGCATCTATGGTGGGTTATAATTAAGCAATAAGACACGGCAGGTGTGTGTCATGCTATGATAATGATTCCATGCCTTGGGTGAGTTTGGAGGCTCATGGAGTGCTTTCAGTGGTTCAAGAAGTGGCATTATCCCAGCATGACACATCCTGGAGTGTCTATTGCAATTAAACAGTTTCAGCATAGTTTTTAAAAAGAAAGTAATTTCTGTGACATTAATGTCTCATCTTAGTAAGTAGCCAGTCACTATTTTATCTTTTCTTTTTCTTAACACTTTGAAATAATTCATCCTCTATATTAGAAATCAACATTGAATTATTTATAATAGTACTGCTATATTTTTTTAATATTTCAGTTCAGTAATTGAACAGTATTATGACCTTGCTGGTTTCCAATTGAACATCTCTGCAATTATAATTGTAAGTTTGCAGTTTATCTCTAATCAAAGTATAAAATACAGAGTGTCAAAAGGTAAGTGGAAGAACTATTTGGATTGGTCATTTTACTGCTATTAAGATGTTACAAGGTTTCAGAAGAGTACCTGGTATAGTAAACAACGGAAGCAAAAGTACAGGTACGAAAAAATAACTGGAACATTGACAAGTATGGGTGTGCTTTGATTAATGGAATAAACATTAATTTTCAGCCCTCTGTTCAGTGACTTTACGGGAAATTTTAATTCTGTTTCATGTTGAAATAGTTAACCCTAATATTAAAGGACAGAAATAATGAGCGACAGAACTCAGTTGAGGCCTGATTAATGGGGGAGGGAGGTGAGTAGTATAATTTACATTATACAATAGGGTTGTTTTTTGTTGTTGTTTTTTTAACCCCCTCTAGTATAGTGATAGGCATATATCTCTTTTCAGCTGTGGATCTTGGTAGTTTTTTTTTTTAATTGTTCACTTTCTTTTTAAAAATTTAATTTCATGACCTAAGAAGATATCTTGCCATGTCAGGAAAAGCCTTAGTGTTCACTCAGCATAACACCTATATATTTCATGTCTATGCTCTCTCATTCACTTTGGCCAACTGCAGTTTCAAGTGGAGAATCTCCAGTGATACAGTGATAATGCAGGGCTTTGCTGAGTGAGAGCACTGGCTCTCATGTTAAGGAGGAAAAATACTAAGCCTTAGTGTTCTGAGGAGGCATTTGAATGACATGTTAATTAAGTGGCATTGGTGCCAGAGGCTGAGGCTTTGATTTGGCACAAAATAGAAGATGAGTGACAGAATGATTCCCTCAAAGAAAATTTTAAATTTCCTCAGGTTTTCTTTCTTTTTTTTTTAACAGATTTATACCAAATGATAATGTCACAATAGCAGAGAACAGCAAACACTTACATGTGATCAGATCTATGTATCCTGATATGCCAACATTTTATATGTAGTTAATTGATATTAAATAATATGTTTACTTAGCAGAAATTTATATAAATGTTAAATGTGTAATTAATTTTGATTAGTTTGAACCTCTGCAGATGGAATTGTGTTCTTCTCAGCCTTTTTTAGCAAAACTTCAGCCTCTGATTAAAGAGGAGAATACAACTGTTGTTGGAGAGATAGAAAAAACAGAAACGGGGAACAAGAATGAAGTAAATGCCAAATTTCCCATTAGTGACCTACAAGAGGAAGAAAAGCACAAAGATTGTGATTTAGGAGATGTGAAAAAGACACAGATCCATTTTGATCCAGAAGTAGTTCAAATAAAGGCTGGAAAAGCAGAAGTAAGAAGGTTTTATTGGGGGCGGGGGGGAAGAGTATTATTTTAAATCTTATGCTCAAATTGTTAAAACATGCGTTATTGTTTATAGATTGACAGACGAATATCTGCATTTATTGAAAGAAAGCAAGCTGAAATCAATGAAAACAACGTCAGGGAATTTTGCAATGTTATTGATTGTAATCAAGGTAACTACCTGGAAGAAGTTAGTTTTCATAGGATTTTAAGCACAGTTTTTAGAGTTGCTCTGATTTTTCATTTGTTTTTAAAAATGAGTAACATTAAATCACAATTTATTTCACAGGTTTATTTAGAAACAGGCAGCAGAAATTCTATTTAATAAGACTACATTGCAAAAATGGGCTTCAGGGTGCCTGGGTGGCTCAGTTGGTTAGGCGGCTGCCTTCAGCTCAGGTCATGATCCCGGAGTCCCGGGAACGAGTCCCGCAACGGGCTCCCTTCTCGGCAGGGAGTCTGCTTCTCCCTCTGACTCTATCCCATCTTGTGCTCTCTCGCTCGCTCTCTCAAATAAAAAAATAATAAAATAAAAAATTTCAAAAAAAAGTTTTAAAAATGGGTTTCATTTTGGTTAGCAAAAATCTAATAAATGCAGACATAAAAGGGCTAATGTTTACCACAGGTGAAGATTCTTTTTTAAAGTTTCTTTGGGAAATGAAGATGAAGTATGGGTGGCAGCATTTTTCAGTCTCACTAATAAGAAGGAACTAAGTTATATAAATTTTGAGCCTGTAAGTGTACTTTTGAAATTGTATTAATATATAAGTAAACTTAGTAAAATTAATACTCCTCAAGAGGGAGCAGTTTTCTCACTACTCCTGAGCTTTTTGAAATGTTTTCTGTCACGATAAAAGCAATCTGTCATCAAGACTGTGGTGTCTTATGCTTTTTTCCTTTCTCTCATAATGTATACATTTGCTGTTTTTCATCAGATTCTCCTTTTCCTCTTTACTTGATGCTATAGTGTATTTACAGATCTGCAGGTATGCTGCAGAATACAGAATACTGCAAAACACTGGCATAGATCTTACTCAGGCATCATAGTAATAATCAGAACAAGCAGTTCTTAGAAAAAATTATGGAGAAGAGTTCCTAATTGGAATGAACATTTTTCTTGTTGCCTCTAACATCTCTTAGCTAATTATTATGAATACAGAATTGTCAGATGAACCTAGAATTGACTCTTATATTGGTACACTGATTCTCTTAATAATGAAATAATACAGGCTCAAGTGGGTCCTAAATTCAGCCTTTTCTGCTGTTAACATTATACATGCATCTCTCTAGACTTAGTATATTTTCCTGTTAGCTTTTTAGAACAGGTACAGTAGTGGCATAATCTCAGGTACTACAATCCATCCAACTGCAAGCAACCCGTGAGAAAGGGTTTGTTGAGGGAGCAAGCACATGTGTCACTAATGTTATTCCTCTGTTCTCCCTGCTAACTCTATTATTATAAACCACCAGGGGATAGAAATTGACAAGAATTGAAATGCTCAGCAGGATTCCTTGGCCCATTCAATCCCTTGCTGGCTCAAAACAGTGCTAGCAAGAATTGCTGTGGACAGGGACTAGCACTCATACATTCACTATCTTCACACCATGCTGAATTTCTCACTGATGGGTCAGTTAATCTATATACTTGGAATATAACTCTGGAATGGATGATAGCTTCTTTTTTTAACCCTTAGCCCCATGAGATGGTAAAAAGAGAATGGAGAAGTGATGGCCCTTTAAACGTATATTGATGTGTCTCAAAAGAAAAAGGAAAGAAAAAGAAAATGATTCTGTTTAGTATCTATATATAAAAGATGAATTTGGAATTATATTCACATAATTTGATTTGCCAGCAGAACTATTAAGGAAACTTAGACTGAAAAAAATATGCATGTATTGTAATGTGTTATTGTATTCTTTTGATACCTGTCAGTCTGATTTAAGTATAAACAATAGATTTTTTTTAAAATTCCATAGGGAAAAAAAATTTTCTTTCAGTATCTCTTTTACCATCTATTTTTTATTATAAATCGGGAATTTTTCAAGAAATTTACTGCAATACATAGTTTTACTTAATGTCATTTTAAATATTTTATAATATTTGAAACTTTTATATTATGTTAGCATTATTCCAGTTTTCCCCCTGGGTTTATAATTTATTTGTTGATACCTAATTTGAAAAAAAAAAAAAATTATACCTTTCAACTTAGAAAAAAATTGGAACAAATTTTTACAACTTATTTTTCCTAAAATTGCATTTTTTTGAAAAGAGTGGTCTGGAAAGGGATAGATAGCTTTTGTTAGAGATTTTTTAAAATGAGCACTGGAAACCTAAATAAAGTGGAAAAGTATGTGTTATTCTTGAGGTTTCAAGATCTCTTTTGTGTGGAGTTCTGAAATAAAAATGTGTTAAATGTGTAATTAATCCTTTTTATTAGATGATCCTTAGTTTGATCAATAAATAATACTAAAATGCTGAATTTTTTAAAAAAGGTTTTTCAGTAAAAGTAATGAGTTCTATTTATTTCTATGATGAAATAAAGGGAATAATGTCTCTTTGGCTTAGGATTAAAATGCTCTCTATAAACTATAAAGTATTTTCTCCAAAGACTCAGATGGTTTGGGGGGGATATTAGAATTTATTAAAAATTAAATTATGCCATTTAATGCTAAGGACTTTTCTATATACAAATCTGAAAATTAGATAAGATTAAAGATTATAAATTTTAGAGGGGAAAGTTCGCTATATTTTATCCTGTATGAGATGGTGATTTAATTACTATTATTTAAAATAATTCTCTTAGTAGTATGTTAATATGAATTATTGGAAATTTATCAAAATCTCATACATTTAAAGTTAAGAATATACTTAAACTTACACTCATCTAAATTCTCCTTAGAAAACAGTTGTGCAAGAACTGATGCCGTTTTTACTCCTTACCCGGGATTTAAAAGTCATGTAAAAGGTAAGTATCCACTACATATCTTCATCATTGTCAGAAGCTTATTCTAGATTATAAGCAAAATGAAGTAGAAATCACTTCCTATCTAAATTTTGTTTATTTTAAAACAAAATAAAAAGTCTTGCCTTCGTACTTGGCTTGATGGTCAGATGGATTTTATAAAAAGAATATGAAGTACTGTTAGGGAGATAGAATTTCTGACTTTTAAGCCTATTAAATTTATATTTCAGAAGTTTCTTAATTTAGTTTCTAGAGTTGTGAATACATATGGACCACAGACTAGACCTGAAGGAATTCAAGGGTCAGGTCATAAACCTAACAGCTTGCTCCGAGATTGTGGTAATCAGGCTGTCGAAGAACGACTACAAAATATTGAGGCTCACTTGAGATTGCAGACAGGTAAGCGGAATGCTGGGCGGTGCCCCATAAATGTACCTTTGTCAGTAGTTAAACTCCAATTTATTTAGTTACAAAATTTTCATTGAGCATCTGCCATGTACAAAACATTGTTCTGGTTGGTACAGAAATGAATAAGCATAGTCCCTACTCTCAAAGAATCCACAGTTCATGTGTTTATGCTCTTCTTCCTCCTCTTACACTTCTCACCAGCTTGAGACTGTTAGTAGAATGGGAATAGATTCCAAATAGGTCCTGACATTCTCAGTTTATTAAGTCACAGCTGAAAATTAATGTAATCTTTTTCCTGCCACCAATTTCATAACTTAACCACGACTGTGTCTCATTCTTCTCACCCACTGTGCTAGGTACAAAGTATTGCTAAGTGTGATCTTAGTCCTCAAGGATCTTTCAGTCAGAATAAGCATATAAATCCGTAAATGCCACAGGGGAAGTGAACTAACATTTATCGAATAATACTAAGTGCCAGTCACTCTCAAAGTATTGATACATGTCAACTAACTTAATACTTAACAGTACCCTCAGTACCCTTGTGAGTTGTTGGTGCTGTTACTGTCAGATACAGAAACTGAGTTCAGAGAGCTCAAGCAACATGCCCAAGGTAGTAATGACAAGTAGAAATCAAACCTCAGTCTTAACTGGCTGCAAAGCCTGAGTCTCCCTCCCCATTTAGTCACCAGATCCTGTTGATTCTGTCTTCTAAATATCTCCCAGATCTACCTATTTCTTTCTACTTCCACAGCTACTACTCCAGTTGAAGTCACTGTGTTCACTGCCTTGGACTGATGGAAGGATATCAGCTGGTTGCTTTGCCCCTAGATTTCTTCCTCGAGACCAATTCTGTACCAGTGGCCAAATTGCTTTTCCTGAAGTTCTGATCTTACTGATCTTGCTATTCCCCAGCTAAAAATTCTTTCATGGTTTCCTGTTACCCTTATGTGCATACCAAACTTAGTATTTATTCATTTATTCCACAAATAGGTATTAAGTTCCTACTATAAGCCAGGTGCTATTCTAGGCACTGAGAATGCACGTGAACAAAAATTCTAGTATATAAATTATATGCTACACAAGAAGAACTACGGATAAAAAGCAGCTTGACCAAGAGAAGAGAAAGGAGCTTGGGATGGGAGGGGATTTTAATTTTAAGTAGCATGATCTACATCTATAGTTCCAGCCCCATCTCTGGGCTTCCCAACTCCCACTCATTTTGCTGTCCTAGGGCCTTCACCAAGGCTTTCTCTCCTGCCCACACTTTCCCCTCCTGATCCCAGACTGGTATGGTATGGACTCCCCTTTCATGTAGTCTCAGTAGTACCTGGTACTCCCTGCCCTCCTTTATAGCAGTTATCACAGTTGTGTGTGTTTAATGTCTGTTCCCCTTGATAGGTAGTAACGTCTGCGAGAGCAAACTCATGTTCATTAACTTTGTGCTTAGTGCAGTGTCTGGCACAAAACAGGTATTCAGGAGTTTTTAAATGAGCTCATTTCACCTTTTCAGATCATATGCAAAGTACAGTGGGTACACAAAGTTAGCGTTCAGCTCTTTCAGGGGAAGTCAAGAGATGGTATCCCTGGTGAAGTGACATTTGCATCCTTGAAAGATTAGTAGGAATTTGTCAGCAGGCAGGAGCAAATTATTCCAAAAAGAGGGAATACCATCTGCAAAAAGCACTAAGGCACACAAATCTGGTTGGGGAATTTCTGAGTCCAGTCTAGCTGGAGTATTTGCTGAGTGGAAGTAAAAGAAGATGAGACTGAGTAAAACTTCAAGGGTAATAAGAGATTAGCATTAAAAATTAATCCCCTCCCCCATAACTAAATGGATTAAAAAAAAAAACACTGAAAAAAGGATGGATTGGCTTATTAAGTCTAATAGTATCAGGGTGCCTGGGTGACTCAGTCAGTTAAGCGTCCGACTCTTGATTTTTGGCTTAGGTCATGATCTCAGGGTCGTGAGATTGAGCCCCGTCAGGTTCTGCACACCGGGCGTGGAACCTGCTTGGGATCCCCCCTCCCCAGCCACATCTCTCTCTTTCTGCCTCTCCCCTCCCCTGGCTTGCACGGGCTCTCTCTCTCTGTATATAAAAAAGTCTAATAATATCAGGTGGTTAATTATGAAAAATATCTTTTGAATGCCTGCTATGTGCCAAGTGCTATTTTAGACACAAGGGATACTAAAATGATACAGTTGCGGTCCCTAGCTTCAAGACCTTTATAATCTGGAAGAAAGAATAATACTGAAGTGGAATCTTACGCTATGAAGGAAGCGTATGGTGGGGCACAAGGAGCCTCCATGTGAAGAGATTTCAGGCAGTGCTTCACTGAATCAGTGAAGCTTGAACTGGCTCTTGAAAGATACAGAGGTGAGCCATAGGGCATTCTAGGTAAAGAGGGCAGCAAGATGAATAAGTTACTCATTTTACCTTACTCAAGAGCAAAAATGACCCAGACTCTAAGGTAAACATTCTCAAAAAAGAAACCTACTTCTAGATTTTTCGTATTTAACAAGTTGATACTTTTGATATGAAAATTTGCCCATATGCTTTAATTGAATAATGATTATCTAATTATGTATTCATTCAGTTAGTAAATATTGAGCACCTGTGTAGTTTGTGAACTGATGGTTCCTAGGTTTGTGCAGTGCACAAGCTGCACAGCCATATGCAATGAGCAAAACAAAATTATGCCCTCCTGGAGCTTACATTAAAGTGGAGAAATGGGCAATAAATAAACAAAATATAGGACTATCCAGTAGTAGTAATGGTTTGGAAAAAAATTAGAGAAAGGATAGGGATTGCAGGGGAGGGGGGTGGTTGTAACACTGGTATTTTTTAAAGGGTGGTCAGAAAAGGCCTTGCTGATAAGGTAACTTTTGAGCCCAGACCTAAAGGTGGTGAGACCAAGCCTTGTGAATATGGAGGCAGAGGAACCACAGGTGAGAGTACTTGGCCTACTTGAATAACAGAAAAAAGGAATCAAGTGGCTAGAATGATAAGGGTGTGGAGAGAATGTCCAAATTGTGTAGGACCTTGGATACTACTGTAAAAGCTCTGGTTTTTAATGTGAGTGAGATGCAAAGGTACTAGAAGGTTTTGAGCAGAGAAATGACACTATCTGACTTTTACATTTTAAAAGGGTCACTGCTGTGTTGAGAATAGACTCTGGGAGCAAGGCAGAAACAAGGAGACCAATTTGAAGGTTGTAGTATCCATACAGAGTTGGTGGGGGTCTAGACAGAATGGTCACATTGCGGTGCAAGAAATAAGAGGATTTGGAATATAATCATAACCTTGAAATTTGAATAACCTTAATTTACCTTCCCCCTCCACAGAAAGTTTGTTAATTAAGAATTATGATAAAGCTCCTCTTTACTATTCTTTTAGGTTAAAGGAGGAAATGTGGCATGTAAGGAGAAATATAAATTGAAGAAAGTGATAAAGACATACTGCAGTCACTGAATTGAACTGTTAGGTGTCCCTGTGCATTTTTCTCCTCCCAAGGAACTATCATATTCTATCAGAAGTACAAATTGTTCTGTACAGGAACTCTTCAGTAGCTTGTAATGAATTTAACGTAAAATAAAACTCCTGGCAAAACAGGAAGCATAAATGGGGCTTGAGGAGCGGTACAATAGAATAATATACCCCATAATGTGTAATATTGAAAATGTGAGCTAAGGATTTCATTTTATTTTACTCTTGTTCATTATCTTCTCAAGCTTAAATATTTCCCATTCCTCTGCGTATCTTCTTTGCATGTTTTTGTTTGTTTGTTTTTGTTTTTTTGAGAGAGAGCAGTGGGAGGGGCAGAAGGAGAGAGAGAATCCTGAAGCGGACTCCTGGCTGAGCAGGGAGCCTGACACGGGGCTTGATCCAAGGATCCTGAGATCATGACCTGAGCCAAAATCAAGAGTCATCTGCTTAACAGACTGAGCCATGCAGGTGCCCCTGCATGGTATTTTAAGAATAAAATTTGTAAGAAGAATTATTCAATAGTATCTCAGAATTTTTTCTTAATGTATTTAGGTGGTCCAGTGCCAAGAGACATTTATCAGAGAATTAAAAAACTTGAGGATAAAATCCTTGAACTGGAAGGAATCTCTCCTGAATATTTTCAATCTATAGTAAGTATAAGTGGCTTTAAAAATATAATAGTTTATTTTACGATGCTTCATCGTTATCACAGTTCACTCATTTATCTGCTACAGGCAAAACACCGTTTTAATAATTCAACGATGAACATAGTCCTATGTAGGGAGTTAACTAGTTTTTTTAAAAAATTGTGATTCCGAGTATTATATTTATAAGACTCATAATTATTTTAAAGGGGGTACTTTTATTATATATCACCCAAATTCTCGAACTTGAGCCATTTCCATGGCATAATAAATCAGCCTAGGTAGTTGTCAATCCTGTCACTATGACCATGCTATCTTGTAGAACAAAAGCTTCCTCTGGGACCCTGCTCTGTCAGTTATCCTTTCTGGTTCTTTAATCCCTCCCTGTCCACAGACTCCTTCCTTCAGCTCATACATGTTTGTATTTCTCCTCCATACTAGACAAACAAACACCTCCATCTGCCACCCTTTTTCTTTACCTTAACCAACAAACTTTTTGAAAGACTAGTCAATATTTGTCTAATTCCTCAACTCTAGCACTTATTTATTCATTCATTCTTATCCCCTTTTCCAAGGACATTAAGAAACAATGTTGTGCTGATAAGTCTCTATTTTGTCATATCAGCAGGTTTTAGACAAGTGATCCTGAGGTCATTGTGTTATTTTCCTCAGTCTTTTGGGGTGATTGTACATAACACCTGCCTTTTCTGAGGTTTGGTTTTCTTTTTGGGGGGGCGTATTTTTAAATTTTTACTTATTTTTGGTTTTCTTTTTTTTTTTAAGCAGCGCCATAACTAAATAATGTAAAGTGAACAAAATTTTTTAATTCAGTAAATTAATTTTAAATTTTTTTTTTTAAGATTTTATTTATTTGACACAGAGAGAGCCAGAGAGCAAGCACAAGCAGGGGGAATGGCAGGCAGGGGAGAAGCAGGCTCCCAGCTGAGCAAGTAGCCTGACGTGGGGCTCTATCCCAGGACCCTGGGATCATGACCTGAGCTGAAGGCAGCTGCTTAACCAACTGAGCCACCCAGGCGCCCAGTTTACTAAATTTTTAGTGAAAATTTTACTAAAACTGCTATCTGAAAAACTATGTAAAATAACTCATGTTAGCATGAATCATTACAAGTCACTGGTAAAAATATAATTAAAATTATTTTAGGTATAGCACTTAGTTTTTCCCAAGTGGCAAATTGGGTATTAGAGTAAGGTACAGAAAAGAAGTATTTCCAGATGAAGAAGGCAGGTTACATAAGAAATGTGAGCAGTGAAACCCAAAGATCAAAAATTTAGAGAAAGAGTTTTAGTGATTTATTCCCCTCAAATGTAAAATGAGGTTTACTAAAGTTCTAAGGGCTGAAGCAAGGATTAAGTGAGATAATACCAGTCAAGCACCTAACACACTGCCTAGCACATGGTAAAACCTCAGTAACTATTAGCATTTATTTAGTTTCAGAAACCATGTATGAAGTAGCTGTATAAATGTAGGTAAGTCATAAAGTTCCTTTGGCTTTCAGTTGTCTAATTTAGAAGATTTCTTGGTTGTACTAAATAATTACAAAGATCTTTCCAATTCTAGGATTATTCTTTGAATGTATCTTCCTAGAAAACTTGATAAAGATTTTATGCTTTTTCCTGTAACAGTGTACTGTATGTTGTTCCCATTCAAGCTGCCTTCATTAAGTAATCCCTAGCAGGTTATTTTTCTATTTCAATTTCATACTTTGTTAATATAGTCCTTGTTAACATAGAATTGATCTTACAAGAGAGTATCTTAGTATTAGATACCTCCAGAGAGATCTTGCTCCTTCATTAATCTCTTTGATTTTGACTTATAAAGCTTAACATCTACCTATTATTGAACTTGGTTAACAAAAGAACAGCCCTTCAAATCATAATCTTGTTTTGGGGGATCTCTTATAGATAGCATAGAATGTTTAGAGTGTTTGGTTAAAGAGATAGAATAGTCAGATTATAGAGGACCTTAAACACTATACCCGGAGGTATAAAGTATTTAAAGTTTAAATGCTGTTGAAAGCACTTTAGCAGGGAGGTAACTTGTGCAAATTATTTAGAAGATTTATCTAATACTGTTCTGGAAGGTAAATGAGAAGGGAGAGACTAAGATTAAGGAGACAGTATTATACTAGCTTAGAGTGAAGTGAGATCCTAAACAAAGGACAAGAGAGTGAGAATAGAAAAGATTAACACAAGAGATGACAGGAAATAAAGTTGACAAATACTGATAATCGATTGGCTGTGGAAAGAGACATAGAGCAAGGGTGAGTCCACTTCCTGATTGGAAAAATTATATACCATCATTGACAGAAATAAGAAAATCTGAAGGGGGAGATACTTGGGGAGAAAATGAATTTAAAGTCCTGTCAGGATATGCAGATAGAACCGTCAGGTAAGCTTTTCAAGAGTAGGACTTGTATAACTGGGAGAGTCTGTGTAGAGGTGATAGTTAAAACACAGAATGGGGAAGAACACTAAGACTATCAGAGGCCTAAAGTCTACAACTTGGTAGACTGTTCAGCAGCAGGAAGCATTACAAATGTAAATAGAATTGGCCTGGATGTGTTAGGTTGCCATACCTGTGATAAAACTGGTACTTCAAAAAAATATTTCTGATTCTATTAAACAATATATATTTGATTAGAAGGATCACTTCTGGATTAGTATTGTAAATGACATGTCCAAGTTAATAGTGAGCTACAAGGAAGCACAAAACACTGAAAAGGTTTAAACATTCAGATTAACTCTGCCCTCAAGGTCTATGAATAAAT